CTCGACGCTGATCCCGTTTCCTCCACTTCCGGGCGCGCTGAAGCCCCCTACCCCAGAGCTCGCCTTTGCTACCTGGATCCGCTTCTTGTGTCGCCTGCGTTCCGCCATGTTGGCCGCTCCGCCCGGTGCCTTCTGACGTGGAGCGAGGAGGGGGCGGCGGAAACCTCGCGAGAGCGCGGCGCGCGGCCCGTTATGTAAACCGGCGGGCGCCGCGGGAGGGGGACCCGCGCCGCGGCCGCTGAGCTGCCCGCGGTTGCTTGTAGTCGGCGGGTAGGAGAGTTGCTGGGACTGGCCGGCTCGGGGATGGATGCGGGGACCGCAGGCCTCAGGGGAGTCTTCGGGTGTCACCCGAAGCGTTTGAGTCACCTGGGAAGCCTCGGCGAGTCCCGGGCCCCGCCCCCCTGGGCAGAGCCAGGCGGTTGGATGGGGCGTTGATTGGAGGGGGAGCTGAAACCTGGACTCCTAGAAATCTTGGATGTGGCGGTCTCTGTGATAGTGACCTTGAGGTCTCTCTCTTCATTTTAGTTTCAAAAAATTCAGGTTAAAGAGAAAAATTCACAGGGCATGGTGGCGTACTCCTGTAGTCCCTGCTCTCGGGAGGCTGAAGCAGGAGGATCGTCAGGTGTTCGAGGCCAGCCGGAAGAACATAGGGAGACATTGTCTCAGAACAAATCAGAACAGGCCAACAGTGTGGGACAGAAGTGCACACTGACTCAAAGCAGAGACAGAAGCCAGCTGTTTTCCCATTCAGTGTATGGGGTACTGTGGCCCCTTAAACTTTGCACTTCTGATTCCATCTTCCGCGTGGCTTTTCAAAAGGCAGCTTTAGGATCCAGAAGTCGGAGAACCCAAGAAATTACCAGTGAGATGGATAAGAGAGTCCTCGGAATAGAGACCTGCCAGCTGCTCCCAGTCTGGAGAATTACTATGATACTTGTGGTTATTTCACAGTCAATTAGGCCAAACAGGAGAGTTTAAATTGCCCCAAAGTATTTAGATACAATCGCTGTGACTTTATGGAGCTCTTAAACCATTTTAGCTATAGAAATTGGGAAAAATGAGTTAAATTCTATCACTCAGAAATCTGTTAATCATTTTAGTAATTTTCTCGTATTTGTACCTATTTTGTGCTTGCACACGTGTTGCCTTTACATTGTGTTTTAGCGTCCCCCCAGACCTGCGATCACATGTGATAGGATAGCCTGTATTTTAATTAATGTAATGTGAGCATTTATTGTTTCAGTAATTTTTGAGTTTTCTATATCATGACTCGAACCCCCATAGCAAGTAATTGCAGCATCTTGATGTCTAATCTTTTTATTTTTTTTATTTTATTTTTTTTTTACGCCGAATGCCTTCAAGGCATGACTGGCTGTATTGTGTTGTGGGGATCGAACCCAAGCAACCTGAGCCTGACTGTTTTGTTGAAGCAGCCACTTAAAGAACTGAGCTACCGGGCAGGCCCCCTGTCTAATCTTTTTATAAAGGAAGATGGCTAAAGCTCTTTTTTGTATTATGGTATTTTGCTCTTGAGGGACCATTTAGTTTCTTTCCCCCTGTGATCTATACTCTGGGTGTGTGGTGTCAGCAAGAAGTTAAGAAAGGAACAATTAACAATAAATAGTTGGACTATACATGGAAATACTACTCAATAGATGCTGAGTGCCCATTAGATATGAAGTACTAGGCCAGGACTACCATGAACAGTGAAAATTCCTATGTAGAATAGCTCCCTCTCAAGCTATTTTACCATCTTTAGAATAGTTTTACTCTACTCTTCTCATGGTCTCACTACCATTTGCTGCTTAGATGACAACAATTTAGTTTCAGATGGATATGGTGGTGCATACCTATGATCCCAGCACTTGGGAAGCTCAGGCAGGAGGATTGCCATGAATTTGAGTCCGGCCTGGGTTACATAGCAAGACTTTGTCTCAAAAAAAAAAGTTGGTTTGTAGCAGAAATTGCTCCCTACCTCACCCCACCAGTATACTGTAGTTTTTGTTAGTTGCCCAGGTAACAGTTTCTGTCACTACTGGTCTCCTAAGGCCTGGTCACTGTGATGCATATTATAAGCACCAATCAATAACCACCAAATACTCTGCCTCTGTACTTCCTGCTTGCTTATCCCACATAAGCCCACAACTATCAAAGATCAGGGCCTAATTGGAAAAGATTCTGATCAGTGTCTGTTGACATAAAGTACCTCTGCCTCCAAATCCTGGGTGATATTTTTGGTGTTTCTATTTGTGTTTGTGTTCTGCTATTAGTGTAATTCATTACAAAGTATTTGACCATGCTGATTATTTACTTCTTGGTTTCCCTCTCCCTCCTTCAGCATGCTTTTAGACCCTCCCTCCTTTTTTCCTAGCAAGGAATGAACCTCCACTCAAAGCCTAATATTTATGAAAAGGGATATCTGTGTATCAGTTATGGTAATCATCAAGTTTATTATTCTATTTTCTCTTTGTCTTTTCTAGACAGGGTCTTGATATGCAGTTCAGGCTATCCTTGAGCTCACTTCATAGCCCAGGCTGTTCTCAAACTTGAAACGATCCTCCTGCCTCAGCCTCCCCCAACATCTGTTGAAACATGTTTCCTCTTATGAAACATCCTTCACTGTTGTGTGGTTTTAGAGTTGTCTCTACTGATTTTAGCCAGATCTTTCCTAAGCAGATGCTGGGGGGAAGGATGAAATATATTGGAGGGAGTGCTGGGATTACAGGCATGTGCCACCATGCCTAACCTTAAATTTCTTATTAAAATTTTTTTAAAGACTCAATTTAGAGGAAAAGGTAAGTGGTAGTACAAACACTGTTGGAGACACTTTCAGGTCCTCGTCTCAGTCCAAGAAGCCAATATTTGTAATCCCAAAGTTACGTTTTTGGAATCCCATCAAGTTGATTCCAATCTACTACTTTCAATGAAATCCATGGCGAAAATAAAGACACTATATTTTCAATCATAGGGGAGTCGAAGGGCTCTAATTTCAGCCATGAAAATGACTTTCAGGAACCCAGAGAGCGACCCAGGGCCTCATCTGGTTTTATTCAGTGGAGGAGTGGCTTGAGGAGGAGTGACTGAGAACTGGGAAATAGGTGACTACTGTGAGCTGAGCTAGGTGGGTGGCCTAAATTTACCTCTGCCATATGCAGAGAGAGTAATCTGCATTATACTCTTATGCCATAGAGATAGCATCTACTGTTTTGGCAAGTCTGGTACTTCAGCTTTGATGTAGTCTTTCAAGCCCCAGGAAGTCATAGCCTCTATCTCGATCCCAGCATTAGCTCTACCGTCCTGTCTTGACCCGGCTCGTTAAAGAGCAGCAGGTATAGGTTATCAGGGAAATATGCACACACGCCACCTTCAAAGACTATCACCAGCACCTCAGCTAGACCAATACACATTGCTTAAGGCCAATTGAAGGATAAACAAGTCCTAGCCAGCTCTGTACATAACAGTGCGAGAAAATTGGGTCAGGCTCAGTCAAAATGGAGACAGTTGCTTTTCTTTCAAGGAGACCGGCTCAGGTGGTCCTCCACAATACACCATGTGGGTAGGACAAACTTTATGGAAGCAAAATGTAGATAAAGAAATTTATGGGGAAGGAATGGGACAGGATAGTAGGCTGACAGGAACCTGCCCACTGATCTATATCTTATGAAACATGATGTTTCCTCTTATGAAACATCCTTCACTGTTGTGTGGTTTTAGAGTTGTCTCTACTGATTTTAGCTAGATCTCTCCTAAGCAGATGTTGGGGGGAAGGAAAGCTGTCAAGGGGTCCTAAACCTCAGTCTTGGGGGAAGGAAAGGTGTCAAGGGGTCCTAAACCTCAGTCTGGATGCTATCCCCACATACCCACCCTGCCCTCAGCAATGCAGGTATGCTAAGTGCTGACGGGAAAATGTAGCTGGAAAATTCCACACCTGACCTCATGTGATGGGGTCAAAATCATTCAGATGCAGATGCACTAAAAATACTGTATAAATTCAGGCTACTTATAAAGGCATTTATGAAATCAATATATTTCATCATGTATATACAAATGTTCAGAAAAAATCCAAAATGTGAAACACTTCTGGTCCCAAACATTTTGGATAAGGGCAACTTGTGCAGCTTTTCCTTCCTGGTTTCTTTTTGGCTTTTCTCCATCTATCTAGCTCTCAAATGTTCCTGGTCACCATAAATTTGAGATAGGAGATTAGGGTGTGGCAAAGCTGGCTGGGGAAGTAGATATGACCTGTTAATTACAGGATCCTGTGCTGGGTAGGTGTGGTGGCATATACCTGTAATCCTGGCAGGTACTCGGAGGCTGAGACAAGAGGGTCACTGTGCGGCTTAGGCTAGCCTGCATTATAAAATGAGTTCAAGCATAGCCTGAACTGCATAGTGAAATCCCATCTTAAAAAAAAAAAAAAAAAAAAAAATTGCAATTGCAGAACACATGCACTGATCAGTTCCCAAAAACCCTGCACGTGAACTTCTCGTGAGAACTCAGGTTTTCAGTAGAATGGCCCAGACTTGCCTTCAGGCAGAGGTCTTATTATAGACTGTAAGATTAGGTGGAAATATAGGAGGCATTCAGATAGGAATGGGCCCTTGAGGGAGTCAGTGCAAAGGATGAGACTGCATCAGCACTATGGCTGGAGCAGCATCTGAAGATTAACATCACTGTGGCTAGTTTTACGTACTTCCCTAAGGGATGAAGATATCAGAATAGGTATCACCCTGTTGAGATCTCCTACTGTCTCATTAGGGATGGGCCATCCCCTCCCACTTCCTAAAACTAGGCCCAGAGGGTTAAAGAAGGGACTAAGACTACAGATTATTGACCAAGGTTAATGATGTCATCATGTACCTTAGCTACTATTAGATCAATATTGCCTAAGCAATTGTACTTGCAACCTTACTGGTTGGTCATAATTTTGACCCACATTGTACCTGCCTCATGATTTTGCTCTATTAAAACTTGCTTCAAGTGGTGGGCTCCTGGCAACCCATTCGGAACCCCTTGTGACTCAGGAGCTGTTCTTATTTCCCATTGCTTTTCTCCAATAAATTTTTGTATTCTTAACCCCTGTTTTTCTTTAGAATTCATTCTTCAACTTTGAGGGACATTGCATATTTGACACCTAGCATTTCATCAGTGTGAGATCCCAGCACCAGCTCTGAAGACCCCTATGTAGACGCTCTCATTTGATCTCCTCTCTGTCTCATTCTCCCTCTCTAGCTCTCTACTGAAGAGGATTGCCTCTTGCCCTTTTGCCAAGGCCAAACTACTACTCAAAGGAGACTCCTTGCTGTAAACAAGGATGTATGGGTTTTTGCAAAAGAGAGGAGAGTTACATTTATCTAGCCATTAACCATATGTTTATTGATGGT